GAGCAGGGCCGAACGGATCTGATGAAGAATATGGCATATGTCGAACGAATCTGCCCGATGAGGAATGGCGATGGCGTATTCCCTCCAGCTTAAAGGGCGATCCTAAGCGTTTGATACTGTCGCCGCTGAGGTTCCGACGATGACCTGACACAAATCTTTCCCGTGGCATTGTCTCATCATTCGACGACGAAGGTGGCGGGGAGAAGAGTTGATGGAGTGCCCTCGGATTCACAGAGCTGGTGGTCGCACCACGGTTGCGAATCCGCACGCGACGGTTTCCAAGATCGTTCAATTTGCCCTGGCGCGCGAATTCTTCCAGATGTGAGGACGCGTCGGGTCCGCTTGCATGCGACGGGTCTTGGGCTTGCGGGGCGTTATTTATATTCGAGAACAGATCCATCCGTGGCGGCGATCGCAACCGGAAGCCCGTCGTCACATGAATCGTCTCTCGTCGGCCCATCGGGTTATGGCGATGGACTTTCCGTTTGGGAGAGCTGTTGTCCGGACCCCATGTATGGTAGGTGAACGGTGATCCAAGGCGCGGAGCACCGGGTCTGTCGAGGCCAAGAGCTCTCTTTGCGACGGAGTCTTCTAGTGCTGTTGTTGCTAATGCCGGCTCCTTGGGACTGCCAAATGGGTTATTGAAGTCGACAGGAGCATCCTGAGGTCGATCTTCGGCCGCGAGTTGCGACAAGGGCCCGGGAACCGAGCTGGACACGAGGGAAACGCCCAAATCGCGGGTCGCAAAAGCGGCAGAGCTAGGACCGAGTTCTTCAAAGCAGGAAGATTCCCGGGAAGACGAGTCTTCCAACGGCGCAGGACTCTTGGACATCATCAACCGCTGGTAGTGCGGCGCGATGGAGAACCTGCGCCTGCACAGCAGCTTGAGTCTCCGTCTGGTGGAGGCTTCTGACCTTGGCCAGCCGGGCCTTGTTGCGTCGCTGTTGGCCTTGGGAGTGGGTGTGTTGTTGCCATCGTCACGCCGTTGCGACTGGCTCAGGATGTCTCGGTTAAGTTTGAAGGCTTTCCGGTCCCAGGTCCTCTTCGCTTCACGGGACACGCGGTGCGTGACGCCTAGCGGCGGAATACTGCCGGGCGTCATCTTGAACGGGGTGATGGTGGGATCCTGGATGTACAATTGGTACGTGTTCCAGAGGTGACTATCCATCTCCACAGTCCAGCGGTCCTTGGAAGCTACCTGACGAGTCCGCCTTTGCTTCGCAACTTTCTGTTCGGGTAATGACAGAGGCGATTGCAAGGCGACAGGCTTCTTCGGGAGCTCCAAGTAGAAGAACGGGTCCTGCAGGTCGCTTTCAGTGCTGGTGCAACTTCCCTCCGATGGCCGGGAAGCGAACGTTTCAACGGAGGAGATGGAGGAATCCGAAACATGAGAGCAGGACGAACTGGGTCGTTGGATCGCCTCACCCGAAGCTTGTTGACTATCCCATACTGACCATGCGCCTGTGGTATTGAGTTCTGTCGGGGTCGTACGAATCTGGGCTGGGGGCGTTTTCAGGGCCGTGCGGCCCCGGGGAGGCGCTAAGAAGCGATCGTTGCTAGTGGATCCCGAAGCGGCACTCGACAGTGCCACGGCCGCATCGGACGGTGGTGATGATTGTGGAGGGATTTCAATTGAGGGGAGAGGAATATCGGAGTGGTTTTGGTTCCATGAAATGGGATCAGAGTGTACCTGCGCAGTGACGTCTGTCCCTGAGCGAGGGCGGAATCGGCGCGAATGACAACTGGTCGCGCGAGGTGGCGGGGGAGGGACGTCGAGATGAAAAGAGGCGCGCTTGGGGGTTCTGGGCTCGTCTGCGCTCGACGGAAAGGTGAAGTTCTTGGGCAACGTGCGCGACAGCCCTGCTTGTCGGTCCTCCATTGTTCGTCCACTGATATCCAAATGCCACTATCCGGACGGGTTGAGCGATCGAGAACGAGGTGGTTATGGCGACTGATAAGTTTGTATGGCGGTCCAAATTAAGACACTATGCCAGTCGCATTGCGCGCGAGAACCGATCTGTCTCAACGGTCGCTTTCGAAGGGGTGTGCGCAGGGGGGGGGCGATCGAGGAATGCGAAAGAGACCGAGGGATGGATGGGCGAGAGGTTGTTCAAGAATTCCCAAGGAAAAACCAAACCAACTTCCACACGATATCCTGTAAAAGATTTTCTTCTTTTCTTTTCTTGAGAATAGTGTCAAAATAAGACGAAAAAAGAGAAAAGGAATTCTGTTCCAGTCAATGGTGTCGGCGCGGGAGTGAATAGATCGGTAAGAATGAGGTCGTAAGGTCGTTACAAGGAAACAAACAAGCCAAAATGAAAAGAAAAATAGAAGAAATACCAGGTGAGAAACGGTCGGGCAAATAAATAAGAGAAAAAAGGAGAAGGCAAAGCGATCGAATTCGCCGTGTGTTGTACTTGACGGGGTGTATGTATGGAGAGAGGAGTGTCTCTTGTATGGAATTCCTCAGATGAAGTCAGGGAGGAATGCCTCATCCACACATGCAGACAACAACACAAACAAACAAAAACGCCAGACCAACAAAGGAAACAGAAGATGTCTGAAAAGAGAAAAAATAGGTGAATAGAGGAAGGAAAAAAGAGGAAGAGGAGAGAAGAGGCGAGCGAGAGAGACTGAGAGCACGGGCTGGCGACGGAGCAGACGGAGCGACGCCGGCAGATCCACCGTTAAGATCGCAGATGTTCAGGATACAGTTGAAGAAGGAAGAAAAGGAATTGAAGGAAAGACCACGAGGACGTCTGCATTCCAGAGAACCTCCCTCACTGTCTGTCTGTCTCGTGCTCTCCCGGATACTACTACTACTACTAACTTCCTGCCATACAGCTCTACATCTCGCATGCACCGTGCAGCATCACCACGGTATTCCAGGCGCTGAATTACAGGTTTGACAATATTCCACTGCTCTTATTGATCAATGCTGACTCTAGATTTCTACCCTAACTAGTTTTCCCTTCGTTTTCTCTAAACACTGCTATCCCGGCTACCAACCAGGAGGTTGGACTACCCAATCCATCCGCCTCACCGCGCCCCAACGATCTCGGGAGAATACATACGGAATACTGTTCATTATTACAGGAAAGGAGCTACTGAGCTGGCACACTGGACAAATCAGACCCAAGGACTCCGTTAAGGCCGTCAATTGGTAGTGGAGGGTTTCCTGGTATCCCAGTTGGGCGTCCAGCTGCAAGGAGGGTCCAGAGCTCGTTCTTCATGTGCTTGAGCTGAATCGAGCATTGAACTTCGGTGTGAGCATTCCTGATGATGTACAGAGTATGGAACTGATAACTACTGCAATTGACTCACACAGCGAACCATACCACCACGAGGGTCTATTCCATCCACTGCAGCTCATCACAATTTCACTTCCTTCGTCGAAGTCTTTTCAGGAACTAAATTGATTGATCTGCAGCGTCACGGAGGAAACAGGAATCGATCGTGATTGCCAGGCCACCACAAAAAAAAAAATAAAATAAAAAAATAAAAATAAAAAGACGACCAATTGCCAATGTGCGGTCAAGTCGGTGGCTGGGGAAGGAGTCAAGACAGGAGGGTTCGTTCAGTCCATCCGGTCACAAGAAGGAAAAAGACTGTTCGTTCCAATTTAATTTGCCTCTTTCCGGCAAATGAGAATTGGTGTTTCGTCCCTCTGCGATGCCAAACTCCAGTTTCGTGCAGATGCGATGTCCCTAGTATTTCCACCGCTGTACGAGTCAGTATGGATTCACGCGGTTCGCGCTGCAATGCTGTGGCCCTGGTTGCCCTTAGTGCTCTAAATTGCGGATTTCAGCGGTCTATCAAAATGCTTTCTTAGCATAAGAGCACAAGTAACTGTACTCCGTACAAAGAGTAGAGAACTAGAGATCAAGCACCGAATAACACCAGAAGCGGGCACGACGTCATCGTAAGAAAAAATCACCTATCCTAAACCTAATCGGGCTATATTAGTCCCACGCGAAACGCGACCACGCGCGTTTCAACGCGTTGGTAACTTACAGTATCAATAATACAGGACACCCTGCTATCTAGCCTAATTAGGAAACCATCCTACTCGTACCCTAGACAGGTATGCATGCCTACAAAGTACATGCGTAGAGCAATAATAATTAAATGTGATGTGGCATGGTCATTCCCAGATGGAACCACTGCAATATAGGTGGATCGATCCCTTAGTTACTTTGTTAGTCTACTTCGTGTCTTGGTTCTCCTCTTTAGAAGCGGATATCCGGGGGCTGGGACAATGGGAAAGCACCCTGGAATAGCTGGTTACTGTAATTAGCAGCGGATGCGGGTTTTGATAGCTGCAGGTGATAAACAGAGAGACTAGACTATCCATAGTCGTTATAATTATAGAATGATGGACGGGTTCTTTTGACGTTAGCACATTGGCATACAGATACTCCGTACCGAGGACTCTACTTCGCAGTATAGTATAGATTTGACGATCTTATGGAGATCGTTTAGATTCTTGCTTGCATCATTGTTAACAGAGTTGTATACCTTGCTTTGATTCGTGGTTATGGAACTATCTCTGCGTCTGTAGCTACTCCATATAGTAGTGCATATATATTCACCACTACCCTCAATATTAGGAGGGAATTTGTCACTATAATGTTGTACTGTACTCCCGGTAGAGGCAAATTAAGTCAAGTTGAATTCAATTTCATAAGTCGTTCAAGTATATATAAAAGAGTACAGGGCACTACCCGGCACGAGTCAATACGCGCGCACTTCATGGTATGTACGGCTGTATGCATGTCCAACTCTCGTACTTAGACGGCGAGTTTGAAAATGTCTGTGCGGCGCGTCGCCATGTGTGGGAATCCGGTTTTGCTTTCAGTTTGTATTTTGTAGTGCATCACATCGTGCAAAAACAGGGGGAACAGTCCAGAGGGGGAATTAAAAGTGAGAAAGAAAGTAAAAAATAAAAAAGAAGAAAAAGAAGAAGCGAGGAAATTGAGGGAGAAGAAGAAGATGGAGAATCACTCGGCTTTCCCCTCCCCAAGCAAAGCGAGGTCAATCTCCGGCTGTCGCGGCTTGAAAAGGAACTTGACGTTTCGATCGCAAATGTTCTCGGTGCCATGAAGGATGTTCTTAGGTCGACCCTGTTGCTCGACAAATTTCCAGTCGTACTTCACAAGCAAGTGGACAAGGAAGATCTTGATCTCATTGGCCGCAAAGAACCGTCCGGGACAAGCATGCTGCCCGTGCCCGAATCCGAAATGTTCCGGAGTTGTCGTTACAAACTGGTGGCGATGCTCGTGGCCGGGCTCCTGGCGCTTGTTGTAGAAGCGGTAGCCGTCGTATCTCTGCGCATCAGGGTACACTGAGTCGTCCCGCATGATGTGGCCTGAAACTACCACGCCGGCACCCTTGGGGATAACCGTTCCGTCCGAGAGCGGAACATCCTTTATAGCAACACGGTTAATCGAGGTCATTCCTGCCGGGTTCATCCGCTGAGTTTCTTTCATGACACTGTCAAGCAGCTTCATCTTAACCAGGCTGGTTTTCTTCAGGCCGCCGTCTTCTTCCAGAACCGCCTTGATCTCATCACGTAGAGGCTGGATGTGCTCCGAGTAAGCGGTCAAGTCGTACAGCACATTGGTCAACATATTCGACGTAGTGTGTATGGCAGCCAAAGCAAGTCCAACTTGGGCACGAGTCTCGTTGAAGGGGCGTCCGGCGGCAGCTTCTTCAATCCAGTCCAGTACATCCGGGTGTGTCTTTTCACCCTTTCCTGGGAGTTTGCCTTCGCGGATCAGTCTGCGCTTCTCGATCTCTCCTTGGACGATACGACGGGCAATCCTCATGTCATTTCGCATTTTCCGGGCCGAAGGAAGAAACCAATGCACCACATGGCGGAGGGCGGCGGGCCAAAGTCGAAGTTCGCGAGCAGCAACAAATGAATCGATGGTATAGTTGACCGATACGTCGAGCCATTCCTTGTTATGGCAAATCTCCTCGCCCATGAATACAAGCGACGACAGTCTAGCCACCATGTGCGGGATTTCCTTTGCGAATACAAAGGGTTGCCATTCTGGACAATCAGTTAGCCAAGCTTACAACAAGCGCTTTAGGGTGACGTACCATCCGATTCGGAAAACGTGTCCTCCAGCAAAGAGGCAGTCTCTTTTGAGAGAGGAACGGTTTGTTGACCAAGGGTGTGGGTGATTTTCTTGTTGATAATGTTCAGCATGATATGATCTTTGTCCTGTCCCTCAAAAACCTCAAAACCCGGGAACTGGCCTCCAAAGAATAACTGGAACTATTAGTAAAAGCTTGATACTAGACAGGGAGTTATACATACCCTCTTAGTGGCCTCGTCAAAGCTGAGATGCGGGTGACTCTTGACTTCGTTCATGAGACGGGGATGTAAAACAATCATCAGACTATGAGAGAACATGGCCTGGAAAGCGCTTTTTCCCTATATAGATCATTCAATATTAGCATTTACTTCCTACAGAGACAAGAAGAGCGATCTTACCTGAGCGAAGCCCTGTTGGATCAGTTCGTTGGCCGAATTGACAAAACGCTCTTTGGCCTTTGTGTTTGACAGCGCCCAGCGACTCTTCCCCACGAGGGGGATGTTTTTGTATGGAAGGCCATCGGAGAGATCTCTCAAGAAATGAGAGACATACACAAGGAATATGGCCGCTGCTAGGCCCTGTAGCACATAGGGGTTCTCGAAAAGTTCAGTGATCACAGCCATGGTGGCTACCGGCTATTAGTAACAACACCGGAACGTCAAATTTCAACACAGAGTAAAACACTTGCCACAAAAACAAGGATAACGAAATGGGCAGCGTTGCTTTTCTATATATTCTCAACCCCTAACACGGATAGTGGAATCGAGGCAACCGAGGCGGAGCGCTTGGCTCGATACGTTGGATACGGTGATCGACAGTCGAAAGAAACACACAGACATATCTCCGAGTTATGTTTTTCCTGTGCAAGCTTGTGCTCATTGTATTCTTGATTTTTCAGAAAGAGGCCACACGGGTAAGATCTGCGTCCTCAGCTGTCAAGCTGCCTTGTCGGCATGGAAATGGGCGCTTCTGAGATTCGGGAGTGCCAATTGTCAAGTCTCCGGGAAAGTGATAGGCACCCCATATTCCCGAATAAGAAGTTCTAGAAATTGTTCGCTTAGAGGCCTTGCCACCCGTATCAGGCGCATTAACAATCATCATTCTGTTCCTTTGTTTATATGGAGTACTCCGTATAAAGAAGTGCCCATAGAATCTTGAATATTGCAGAGATTCAGGGTTAACCCAAATTGGATAGATCTGGTTTTGCTTTTTTCTCTGTTGCCAGTCTCATACCATCGCATAGCGACAGTGGTACGGAATACAATTCCAGCATGCATCTGAGCGTCTCGATTTCTCATGCACAATCCACCGAATACCCTTTGTAGACAAACCGATTCGTCGTTTAGATGGAGTCGGGCTTAACCGGTGGAGCCCAGGCAACTGTCCAAATTTGGTATGTCGCGGGGAAAAGGATGGGTCGCTTAAGGGGTTGCCGTTCTGAATTCCGTACGGAACATGTCCATCCGAATACTATCAGTTTTAGGAAGATCGGTTCTTCGAGAAAGGATTGTTGTCAATCCGTTTTCCGGTCGAGTGTCCGTGTATGCAGCGTAACTGGACAGGCCCCACGTTCTCGTTCTCGTTTTCGTTCCCGTCTGTTGTCCCGTGCAGATACGGGATCCAGGTAGCCGAGAATAGCTGCAGAACTCTGACGAAACACACTTGACTCTTCCGTAACTGGGGTTTGACCTTATGAAAACTGGTGATGATGATGACGAGAGTGAAGTGAGGCTCAAAACCCCGTGACGCCAAGACCCGGATCAGGACATCTCTCAGGCGACTTTCTCCTCTTTCAGTTGTGCTTGTTGCATGCGGGGTTGGGCAACGAGCAAGGCGCTGCTGCCACTGCAGACGCTCTCGAACCTTGCTTTATTCAACCTCAGTTACCAAGCAGAGAAAGAAACCTCTATCTTCTATAGTCTACTCTGTACTCGTATCCAGCTTATCCGTTGAGTACTATTATCCCGGAGTAAGATCGCCATCATGGGAGACCCTGGCCTCGGACTATCGCAGATCCGGGGAATCGAGCAAACTACCCTGCCTACTGAGGCGGAGGTGTCAGTCCTGGTGACAGGTTTTGGTGTAAGTGGTGTTCCATATTCTGTACCTGGAGAGCACTTCCGCTTGGAGGCTAATCTCGTACCTAACAAGGGAACTAGCCGTTCAAAGCCTACGCTGCCAATGCCTCGAATTTGATCTCTTCGTCTCTCCCATCGTCGTTTACTCTCCCTTCGGCGGTCCCCTCATCCGCGCCCCGAGAGGGTCTCGTCCCCACTTCCCGTCGTGTCTCCATCCATGTCCATCCCACTCCGATACCCGTGGCCTACTCGACGATCCGGGAGATAGTGCCGGCCATTCTAGACGAATATGCAAAGAATCATAGTGGTCGACGACCGGATATCGTGATCCATATGGGCATAGCTGCAACGAGGGATTGCTATTCGGTGGAAACACAGGCACACCGCGATGCGTATCATCTTTCGGATATCACTGGCAGATCGGGATTCCTAGATGGTGAAATGCATTGGAGACAGTTAGGGCTGCCTCCGATTCTAAGGGCCGGCTGCGCGACGGATGTTCGTACAACAGTAAATGCACCGGCAATGGAAATACCAGACACGGCTTTTGGCTCGAAATCACAGCAGGCTGTGCAACGACATGCACACCCACGCCCGCCGGATGACCATTTTGTCGATATATGGAAGACATTTGCGCCTCCTGGAGCGGATCTTCGCATCTCGAAGGACGCAGGTCGTTACGCTTGTGAATTCATCCTCTACACGAGTTTGGCACAGGCGTTTCAGGAAGGCCGGGACCGCAATGTTGCTTTCTTCCATGTTCCTCCATCGTGTAATGATGAGGATATTGAATATGGGAGGAATGTTGCGATTGCCTTTATCAAAGCGCTTGTAACATCCTGGTTTGGTGAAAAGGCTAGAGATACATAGAAATCTATGGTTTCATTATATATAGCTCGCATTGACTAGCAAGGGAACGTCAGCGCAACAACACAATAAATTCAACATCTGCCCCATTTCCACCAATCTCCCTATCCTCTCCTTACTCTTTAACCATCTTTTTCTTAATCATATAGAAAATAGCACTATACATTCGCTTGACGCTTTCGGCAATTCCCCGGATGAATGCGGCGGAACCCGGCAGAAACAATCGGCCGATATAAAATTTTGGCTCCATACTTCTACAAAGTGCCTTGAAGCCATCAACAATTCACCATGATAGAAATAACCAATATGCTAGAGTACCTGAGCACCCCATCAGGAGCCCTAACCGTGCTCCTCCTCGTGGTCCCAATCCTCCTTATCCCTATGGTCATCCTTGGCCCGGAAAGCAGCCAATTCCGCCGCCTCCAACAACTCTGGTCCCGACGCCAGCAACAAAATGCCAACAGCAACAGCGAAATCGTCTCTTTGCGCGTATATCCAATCAAGTCCTGCCGCGGATTCACAGTGAACAAGAGCACACTCCGTTCGCACGGTCTTGATTTCGACAGACAATGGATGTTCGTTGATGCGGAGACGCAGCAGTTCTTGACTATTCGTCAGATCCCGGAGATGACGCTGATTAACACGAGTCTTAGCGAGGATGGCAGGTCACTTTTGCTGAGTATTAATGGTGTGGATGAGGATGTCGCTACTATGGAGAAACCAATTAGTATTCCCGCAGTTCCTGATACGGATTGGTTGGAGCAGCACACTACGCTTTCGCAGGTTAAGGTGTGGGATATAGTCACGGACGGCTATGTCTATGGTAACGAGGTGAATGAACCTTTCTCGCGCTTCTTGGGCCGGAACGTTGCGCTTGTGTACAAGGGTCCCACGCCACGGATTCTGCAAGGAAACGGGGACCCTCAACTTCTGGGCCGCACGCAGAGTGTGAACTTTCCCGATGTTCATCCCATTCTTATCGCTTCTGAGGCTTCCATTGCGGAGCTGAACTCGCGGCTTCACCAAAAGGGTGCTGATCCTATCACTATCGAGCACTTTCGTCCGAACATCGTGATTAAGGGGAATGCGCCTTGGACTGAGGATTCGTGGAAGACTGTTCGGTTTGATGGTAGCAGTGGTAGTCTGGCAGAGAGCGGTGACTCGTTTGTCCCGTCATCGCCCGCGCTTGATCTTGATATCGTGGCGCGGTGTGCACGGTGCCAGGTACCGAATGTGAACCCCGAGACGGCGGAGAAGCACTCGAAGCAGCCCTGGGATACGCTTGTGAGCTACCGGCGCGTTGACGAGGGCATCAAGTTCAAGCCGTGTTTTGGAATGCTTGCTGCGCCGAGGAATGAAGGTGCTATCGAGGTTGGGATGAGGTTCGACGTATTGGAGGAGACGAATCAGCATCGGTATATCAAAGGATTTTAACCTATTCATATCCTATTCTGTACCACTGTATAAATAAAGGAGCATGTGCTAGTGTACATAAACACGTATACAAATCGATACCCATAACAATCAACAAAGCGCACTAATTCTTGATCTGGCTCCTCGCAGACACACACCAGTTATTCCAATCCGTAAAGAACGACGGCTGCACATGACACTTATTGCTAAGCATTTGCTGCTTCCTCGTCGCCGCGTAGACATCCACAACATCCTCAATCGCCTTCTTATCATGCGCCACAAGCACCTTGACAACCAGCAAACTCGCCTGGCTACAAGCCGTCGCGTGCGCCTGCGGTCCACTGTGACCAGCCTCGCGATGCAAGTCTTTCAACAATGCCCAGGCAGATTCAGTTGAGTCTTCAGCGATCGCCGGGACAGCAGATCCCTTACACGACTTCGAGTACTCGCGGAGCACAGTCGTAGCCTTGTTAGCGATCTGCTTAGTGTTGGTCTTCCGGGTGAGGCGGAGGAGTGGCAAGAGGAGATCAAGAGCAAGGATGCTCGAGTGGCACTTCTTAACGTAGATCTCAACAAGATCGAGGACGCGGTTCTTGAAGTTAACCATGTTTCCTTTCGCGTCCTTCTTGTCTTTCTTCTGTTCGAGGGCGTCGCGGCGCGCTTTGAAGACCTTGACGAGTTGCTCGTCGACAGCTTCCATGTCGTCATCATTCATGTCGGCTTCGTCGTCGGATTCCTCGTCTGGTTTGTTTGCTGCGTGCGGGCCTAGGGCTGCCGTGAGCTTGGCTTGGAATTCGGCTTCTTCGTTGTCGGGTTCGTCGTTGTTGTCGTCGGACTCATCTTCTTCGTCCTCGTCATCGTCATTGTCGTCATCTCCACCCTCTGCATCGACGACCTCGACGTCGCTGTCCTCTTCATCATCGTCATCATCATCGACGTCCATCATCTCTTCGTCTCCTTCGTCATCCTCCTTCTCGAACATCTCCTGCTGACCAGCAAGGTTCTCACTAGCCTCCAGGATAGAAATCAAAGACTCCAACCCAGTAGCAGTAATTTTATCCGCAAAAGCACCAAAGACCTGCTCACTAATACGGCGGAACAACTGCGACTGCTTCGACGCAAAGCTCAGCAGAATCTCAACCAACGTATCCGACGCATCAGAAGTCTCGTCCTCCTCGCCCTTCTTCTTCGACTTCTTATCGCCCAAGAACTTAGTGTAGCAGAACTCGAGTTCGTCCAACATAGAGACTGCATCTGCGTCGCCGTTGTAGACTTGGAGGAGGGTCATTGAGTAGAGGAGTTTGAAGGCGTCAGCGGCGGCGTTTTCATCCGAGCTAGAGAGTTTCTTCAAGGCTTTGAAAGCGGACTTGACGGAGTCGCTGAGGGCGCCGTCGATGTTGATGATGGACTTTCCGTATTCCTCGGACTTGGCTGCGTCGCGGATCTTGCGGACAACAGTGTACGGCAGGGTGGCTGCGTATTTCTGAGAGGCGATCAGGCTGTTCAGGCAGGAGTTGATTCTGTTGCGGAACATTTCCTGGGTCTGGGGTGCCATGGGTGGTTGCGGGCCTTCTTTTTCCTTGGGTGTGAAGTAGGCGGATCGCACGAAGGTGGTGAGGATATGCTCTAGGACATCTTGGAGTCCCTCATCGGCATCTTGGCTCGAGGCTCGTGACCGGACAATCGACACAAGCAGGTTGGCCAGGGATTGGCGGCTCGATGCGGCGGCCTTGCTGTCATTGGTGCCAGGGTGGCTAACGAGTTTCTCCAGCAACGGCACAATCTCCTTGAGTGCGTCGGGGTTAGCTTCAACGGCGATTTTCTCCACGGTCTTGCTCTTGGTGACTTGGTCGAAGTTGACGGAGCCGGCTGAGCCCATCAAGCCCTTGATGGCGGCCGCGGCGAATGCGGGCTCCTTGGATACACGGGTTTGGATAGTCTTGGCGGATTTGGTGGCCATGCGGTGCAGATATCTGTCTTCGACGGCGAGCTGGTTCATCAGACATCTGACCAGGTTCTTCGTGAATACGAGAGAAGCCTGCTGCAGGGGACTCTCATTGAGCACTTTGACGAAGAGCAGGAAGCCCCAGTATTTGCGCTCCTCGGATGAAGAAGAGGCGAACAACCCATCTATTCACGTTAGAATCTAGTTATTTTGCGAGGCCAGGGCACTTACTGTCGACAGCATCCGTCCAGAAGTCAACGAAGCTCAAGCGAGACGATTCCTTCTTAGACTTGGTCTCTTTCACAGCCGGGATCCTGTTGATAACGGCATCCCATGCGAAATGAAGCTTGGAGTTCCACACCCCAGAAGACTTGGGCTTGTTCTCTTGGCTTTCTTCCGTCTCGACCGACGATTCCTTCAGGACCTTGGCCAGCTGGTTCCTCTCCCGTGCGTCCAGCGGATCATCGTGCTTCCACGCTTTACTGGGGAAGTTCGCCTTGGGGAACAGGTCCTTGGCGGCCAACCAGATGGCAACTCCTTCAGGCGTGCGGACCAGGTCAAAGCTCGACAGACGCTCCAAAGCCGCCTCAACGTACTTAGAATCGACTTTTTGCGAAGAGAGGTCGTAGATGCAGCGGTAGATAATCCAGCCGCATTCTTCCCTGATCCATGGCTTTCTCTTGGCCAGATCGAAGACCAGGTCTAGGAGCTTAGTCCACTCCGAAAAGGGAACACTGGGCTTAAACAGGATCGAAGACTTGATGATAGCTTCTGATCCAAACAACCGTCCAAAGAAGTGATCTCTTTGTTCCTGCGAAACGTGTTAGCTTTACGCCACATAGATCAAGCACAGTTCAACATACCTGCCCCGAGTCACTACCAGAAGCATCCGACTGTGACTCCAAAATACCCATAACCTTGCGAACATCAATCTCCGACGCCTCCCTCGGAGTCGCAAACACCTGCGTCAGAATCTCAGTCAACGCAATAGAGAAACCGATTCTAGCAGCCTTGCGGCTACTACAGAGACCGCGGAACAGCCTCTGCAAAGCTCTCTTGATCTGCTCATCGCTCGGATTCTTGTCAGGAGTAAACTGCGAGACCAGCGCCTGCGCGGCTCTCAGTCTGATCTCGTCTTTCTCGTTGGCAAGGTCTTCATAGATTTCGACCAGTTTGGTGTCGACAGTGTATGGCTCGCGCCGCCGCTTCTTGTTGTCGGGCGCCATTGTATGTCAGAAAATTAGAAAATATGGATTATTTTCTATCTTCTCAATTGAAACAATGCGTGCTGGAAATTAGCACTGGTTGTTGTCTGGAGGTTGCGGTGTTTTGGCCAGCAGCAAAAAATTTATGAGGCTGTCCCAAAGCGGTTTAGCGGCATCTGATAACGGCATATTGCCGCTTTGGGAGGCGAATAGAGCGACTCTTTAGCATCTTCAACTGAGTCTACAGCGAACCGGTAGTATCTGAATATGATAACAAGGTGGAACGTATATTACTTATATGCCTATTGACATGATTCAAACTCGATAGATAATAAAGACAACAGATACAGAAACAGTGGGTATAGTAACATAGGGCAAGATAAAGCAGTCATCGTAAATCATCATAAAATCAACCATAACAAATAAAGATGAACAAAGACTAGAGGATTAAAAGCAAACCCTCTCCAACTTCCTTCTCTTTTCCGCAAAAACAGCCTCCAACTTCCGGATCTGCAACGACAAACCCTTCTTCTCCGCATTGACCAGAAGCCAACTCTCCATCTTCTCCCGAACAGCCCGCATTGCTCCAAGAATAGCCAAATGCGGCGGCCGATCCTCATTCTCGTCTTGACCGATAGATGTCCACTTTGGCGCACCAGGGTTCAACAGTAAATCAAACACTTCACTCCAAATCTCCCGCTCCCAGTATCGCTTCAGCGTTTCCCGGATACGGTACGTCCTCGCCATTGCTTGAGGGTTCGAGTTTTCGCCTTCGGGCCCGCTACGCCGGACGGGGACAGACTCGATGTATTTCCCGAAGAGCATCACGTGCACCGTACCAGCGACACCGTACAGATCAATCTGGTGCGTCCAGGGTCTCATCTCACGGATTTCGTTGCACTCGTGGCTGCTTGGTTCCCAGTCGGCGATGAATTGAACTGAAGGTTGGAAGGCGCGCATGTCGATGCTGCGGCCGAAGTCGATGAGACTGAGGCCCTTGTCGCGCCAGCCGTATTTACCGTGCGGAGAGTAGTGGATTTCGCGCGGGTCAGTGTTTTCGTCATCAAGATCGAGGAGAGAAGGTGTACTGTCTGCTGGGTGTGAGGATGGGTCGTCGAAGCGGACCAGGCAGTTGTCGGGTTTGATGTCGCCGTGAAGGACGCCGTTCGCGTGCAATGCTTCGATGGTTCGGAAGAGCTCCACGGTAAAGAACATGGCTAGACATTCGTCTAGACCACCTTCTCCGTTGTTATGGACCAGAGTAGGTTCGTTGCGGATGATGTTAATAAGGTCCAACAAGGTACCTTGTCCGCGGTAGTCCTCTACAAGGAAACTCTCCTTCTCGAAAACGTGCAGCTCATGTGCGCGAATAATACTATCGGCGGCCCGGGAGCATCCAGGCGATTTCTGAAGACGTTCGTGAGCGGCCCGGATCATGTAGAACTCCCACGGATTAGGGGGTCCAAGTTCCATTTTAATCGCCTCGAAACCGTAACGATCCGCCGTCTTTCTGCCGTGAGTGGATTGGGAATCTCGACTGCTGTCCATTTCGGAATCAGTATCGAAGCTGTCGACGCTTTCCGCGAGGTATACGGGAGCATAAGCACCGGCTCCGAGTTCTCGTCTGATGATGTAACCCCGTTCTGCTTTCTCGAATTCAAGCATCGGGGCACTGAATGACGCTTCATCACCGCTCTTCGGTCGCTTGCTGGGGTTCTTGATATACTTCTGGATTCCAGGGGCGTAGTGACTTTCCTCCTCTGGGTGAGTCTGATAGCCGGTGTACGATGAAATTGGCGGGCTCAAAGATTCGAGAACGACCTTCCGGATTCCCTTATCGGTCGGATTACACTGAGCATCCTCAATAACAGGTCTCTGCTTTCGTGCCGGACTACTCTTCAGAAACGGCATCAGCGGACTCGAGCGTGACTTCATTGCCGACGGACTGAGCGTCACATCCTCCGGAATACTGGCGAATTTGTCCCCTTCAGGCGAGAGACCCAGAAGGTCTTCCATCTCGGGTGTGCCAGGGCTTGCAGCGATACCGGGCATCGGCTTCGACGGAGTCTTCGCAGTGTAGAGGTTCCTGGCGGTCCTCATGGAGGGAAACGAGCATTCTGTCTGTTCGACAATGGGCGTCATGAAGGGCAAGCGATTCTGAGCCATAATTTCCGGGTCACGGTAGGGGCCGCATGGCGGATTGTAGTCTTCGGGCATTTGCGGTACAAATCTTGACCGTAAAGCAGTATCTGTTTCTTCACCATCGGTATATTCAGGGTGCTCTGGCTGGAAAGCCTGCGAGTCCGTTATTGAAGGCTCGGAGACGTGTCGACTGCCGGTGAATTCCGTCCATTCACCATCCACAACACTTTCAGCCCGAGTGTCATCAAACCCTTCCTCATCACCGTTGTCAAAGGACTTGTGGAATGTCGTGTCATCATCGTCAAAATCGCTGGAGGCAGCAGATATCCGTCCAGTGACTGTGCTCTCGCCGGCACTCGTATAGCCGTCGTCGTCATCGTCGAAGTCACTGCTGTCCGCGGGCTCAGTCTCTGCTCTCAATGGCTGATTGAAGATACTGTATATCTCGTCCGTAGCAGCGCGAGTGTGGATAGTCATGGTCGGCTCAGCAGTGCTCTTGCGCCTTACTTTCTTTGGTTTCGTCGGGGAATCAAAATTCATTTTGACTAGCACCATGTCAGTCCCAACAAGCATAGAATATCAGACGAGCGCCACTGGCTGTTCTTACTGGTCTGTGTTTCTCCCTGGACTTCGCGAACCTTGGGTTTGCGCGATTTTCCAGCTTTGCTGTCACGGTTCTCATCTTGATCAGGCTGTGAGTCGTTGAGGGCCAGTTTCTGGTTGAATTGATCTGGTAGTTCCTTCTCGGGGCCCCTTCCTACAAGCTTCTCCGTCGAAGGCTCAGCATTTCCTGATATCTGCTTCAGAGGGTGTTTCTGTGAGCGCCAATTTTTGTTCGTCCATCCCCGGCTCATAGCCCTCAGTTCCTCGAAACTGATCTCATGGTTCGGATTCTTGTAATCAGGGTATACTGCTTCAAGATTGACGAAGACGCGTTCACGTCTACCAGTACGTGGATTTACCGCTTCGCTTACTCGGTGCTCTGGAACATGCTTGGATTGCATTGGTTCTTTGACTTGCTGTTTTGCATTTGACTGAATACATTAAATCGTAACCCGATACCGGTTTATGCCACCAATTAGTCCTGTGATCGTAAATATGCGGAATTCAGAAACTGGGGTCCAAAACCGAACTGTACTTACCTCATCCCTGAAAATCGACATTTTCTCTTTTGGCGCTGCCTTCTTTCCTGCCTTCAAAGTTTCTCCAGCCCATGGCTTTGCCTCCACGGCGTTTTCCTTCTTTCGATCATGCAACGACCCAATACTATCCCATCCCTTTGTTGGTCCACCACTGAGAGCAGGCTGGCTTGCCGGGGCGGCGTCGCTCGCATCGGAAAAGATGGCCATCTTCGGCTTGCCGGACTTCGATTTCTTGGCTCCGGCCGTTGGTGCGGCTGGTTGCTGAGGTTGCTCTTCTGGTGCGGCGCTCGAAGACGCAAACGGGTTTGCCTTGGCAGCTAGTGCTGGTCGTGCCTTGGGCAATGCGGGCGAGGTTGGTCCGTCTTGAGGCTGTTGCTCATATCGCTGCTGGAACTCGCTGAATTTCCGGATCAGTCGCTCGACTGGCCGTGCCTCCCGGTCAATTCCAAGATGGTATACCTCCTCGGCTTGTGCCCAACGCCCCGCACTCTCTAGCCAAGCGGCAAATTCTTCGTAAAACAGGGCGAGTTCTTCACCGATATGGTGACGGGAAAGGAAAGCAAACGTTTCGCGCGGCGAGTCCGAGAACAATCTGATATAGTGAAGCCATAACCGCACATACCGGGAGTCGTTCTTGTAGTGGTTCGAGGAGAGGAAAGCCCTGACGGCACGCTCTAGGAGAGGAAGCAGTCCTGATTCCTGTGTCGCTTGAGTCGAGGGGTAGGCGTTAAGCACCCATTTCACATATCTATCGTAAACATCGAGCGGGTCGTCGGATTCGTTAATCGCCTGCAACTCCGATTCGAATTCCTGCCTGATTGCATCGTTCACGGTCCTTGTGTCATTGGGTGATGGGGTTGCCAGCTTATCAGTCGTATCTCTCGGCGAGAAAATGCGGGCTAATTCTCGTGCAGACCGTCCTCCGGGGAGTGACTGGATGTTCTCCTTCTGATTCTCGATGATCTCGAAGTCGACGAGGTCTTCTTGGGCCGCCATGTTGGCGACACTGTCGTTTATAGTGATGGGCCGCTGTTCTCTCGATAACTAACGGACGTCGATTAATATAATATTCCGTTTGTCGTCTAGCCGGGTTGTCGTGCAAATTGTCGTGTAAATCGTCGTGGGGCGTGGTGGTTGTCGATGGAAAAAAACAAGAAGTCGGCGGTGGGTTTATCGATAAACAGCTGCCCGCTGTTGCCCTGGAGATACTCACGTGACTTATATACGTAAGCGGTGTATGGGGCGGTATCTTACTGCCCCCCCTTTTGGCCGATGGCAACCGAGTCTCAGATGTTGCTGTTTTACCTCTTGCGTGAAGGCGAAAAGATTGAGGAATTGCCACTTATTCGTTGTCTGATTCATTGCCTGTCCGTCCCCTGGTGAAGAAGAGCCACATATCCGCAATGTCGACTCGCAAAAGTGCGTCCAGTGCCATCCGCGAATCTCCATTGCCTTCGCCGAAGACCTCGAAACGGGACGCCAGTGCGCGCGACATTGATGCAGCGCCACAGCCAAACTCTCCGTCTAGAAGATCGAAACGCTTAAAGTCAGACGTGCCGGAAGCTTCGAGCCTGTCTCAGGTTAACGGGGACGTGATTGAACCCAAATCGAAGTAAGAGAGAACCAGGGCCATCTCTGTAGAGCGTTGCTGACATTAGACGAATAAGACGTTCACAGGCTTCGCGAAAAATGGTGGAAGCAGAAGTTGAAGAGGAGTCGGAACTTTCGATTAGCGTCAAGACTGAAAAAAACGGCGCAGTTAAACAAGAGGAACCGGAAGTAGTAACGGCGAAGACAACGAAGAAAAGGAAGACAAAAGCAGAGAAAGAAGCGGAAGTCATGCCATTGCGACCTAGGACACAAGGACTGCGGATGTTCGTGGGCGCTCATGTTAGCGCAGCGAAAGGTTGGTTACAGTGTTTCCATCTGGTCTGGATCAGTGGCTCACAGTCTATTCAGGTGTCTTCAATGCCGTGAATAACAGTACGAAGATTGGGTATGTCACTCAGTTCACCACCTGATATTATGAGAAGCTAACATTCTCTAGCGGAAATGCGTTTGCCCTGTTCCTTAAATCTCAGCGGAAGTGGGACAATCCTGCTTTGCAGGACGATCAGAGGGACCAATTTTGCCAGTCTTGCTCGGAACAGAAATACAACGCAACTAAACATGTTCTCCCCCACGGCTCGTACCTCGTCAACTTGGCGCAGGAGGATAAGGCCAAAGCTAAGCAGGCGTACAATTCATTCCTCGACGACCTCCAACGCTGCGAGGCACTCGGAATCAACCTCTACAATTTTCAGTAAGTACATCCAAGAGAAACAACCCTGACCAAGGCAACTATTGACACTGAATAGCCCCGGCAGCGCCGGCCAGACAACCCTCCCTTCTGCCCTAACTCGTCTCGCGAAAGCCCTCACCAACGCCCTCGCCGCGACCTCGACTGTAACCCCCATCCTCGAAACAATGTGCGGCCAAGGAACTACAATAGGTGGCTCCTTGAACGAGTTCCGGGACATCATTGCTCAGATACCCAAAGAACATCACTCCCGCGTCGGCATCTGTATTGATACATGTCATAGCCACGCTGCCGGTTACGACCTCGCCACACCCGCAGGGTTCAAGGCGTTTCTGAAGGAATTCGATGAGGTTATTGGTCTACAGTTTCTCCGCGCCCTACATCTCAACGATTCCAAGACACCACGGGGTAGCCACCGGGATCTCCATGCAAATATCGGAACGGGCTTTCTGGGTCTTCGGGCGTTCCACAACATCATGAACGAGCCAACTTTCGAGGATATGCCCATGATCCTTGAGACCCCGATTGACAGGCCAGTATCGGATACCTCTAAACCACCTACCACCAACACTTCTGCCACCGCAGCGCACGAAGCCTGCGCAAGCGAAGATTCTGAATCCGACCTCTCCGAACCCGAAAAACCCCCCAAAAAGCCCAAGAGCAAGGCCAAAAAGCCTACAGCTCGCCTCATCGCCGATCCCAGTGTCTGGGCCAACGAGATCTCACTTCTCGAATCTCTCATTGGGATGGATCCCGAGTCCTCCGAATTCCGCTCACTCGAGGTGAAGTTAGCAGATGATGGGAAGGAGATGCGTGAGAAGCATCAGGAACAGCATGATCGGAAAGTAGAGACGGAGGAGAAGAAGAAAAAGAAAGCGGTTGAAAAGGGGCAGAAGTCGTTGATGGATATGATGAAGGGCTCGTCGGCTGGGAAGGGGAAGAAGAAAACGGCGGATTCGTGATGATAATGATCGACGCCCAGTGAGGGCTCAGCATCAGTGAATAGTCACGTCGACTTATTTCCGACAAACTTCGACCTTTTCGTCCATCTATACCTCGTATTTGGTACATAATTTAAAGAGACACCTTTCCTGTTCTGCGAACCACTGAATGAGCAACACAACCATTTCCACATATGCTCATTCTCGAGCCTCCAAATGTCAACCATGTTTTGGAAAGGTAGTTCTCTGCACCGGTGCCAACCAGGGCTGAGGTGGTTGTTCGGCTTTTTGCGGATGGTACGAGGATGGAGGGACATATCGGGAGTTTGTGGATGATGAGATGAATGTCGTTCCGTGGTAGGTTGGACAGATGGACTACGGTGGTATGTGTACAGTAGTAATTTTGCATAAAGATAGGGTTACGGTTTATTAATGACAAAATGAAAAGGACAAGGTCATCTGTCGGAGACAACTAAACAAAATGCGTTGTCTCCTGAAAATCCATTGGTGGTATCAATCGAATGAGTATCCCGCGCACAAACCATGCAATGTCTATATTGACATGCTTTCCTTTACATCACTCTAAACATGCCAACAAAAACCAAATCCGCCAAGGAAACATTGATCGGTATCACAGATATAAAAAGAAGCATGGAAAACAGGAATAGAAAAGGCGCCTGAGAAATCGACAATTGGGAAAATGTGGTTCCCCAGCTCGTTCGAGAAATGAATATCACATAAGAATAGATGAGAAACGGGAGAAATTGATGACTATGTCCAAAAGGGAATTTTCCAGAGAATGAATGAGCGAATGAGTTCAGTTAATGGTCGTGTCCGAATGTGTTTCTCTCCGGAGATTGTGAAGCAGATTGGCTTCCGTGGGCTGGGCCACGCTCCGAAATTGAGGGAAAGTCTGTATCCGTGAATGTAATGATCGGAGGTGCGGACTTGAGTGGGGAGGCAGAATTTGATCGTGGTGGTTCGAGGTTCGAGGTGGTAATGGAGAGCCCAGGGGTAGCGCTGCTGGCCCCACTGGTCCGGACACCGTACGAGCGTGGTCCGCCAATAGCCATGTCATCTGCGGGAGTGATATTGACATTATCGGCGACGTTCACTCTGGGACTGGACTGGGCCATTCTTGTCTCTAGATTGGGTACTTGCTGGTAACCTCGGGACCCGCTGGGGGCGGGAGATTCTGCATCACCTTCCGAGTCCGTGTCCGAGCCCGTAGTCGGGCTCCGGTCTCCCATGCTTGATAAGGCCTCTTGCCGCATCTTGGAAATCTTCATATAGTTGTAGGTGGCAATACTGCCAATCGTGACCACCAGACCCGTGAGGTTGACGGCGGTGAGCTGGTCGTGGAACACCACGCCCGCTGCGCTGATGGTGATCACTTCCTTGAAGATTCCGCAAATGCTTAATGTGACCACAGATGAGCGCTTCAGCAGAGCAAACTCCGAGGAAATCATACAGAAAGCGAGTACACCGGGAAAAATCAAGAGCACAAGCCCGAACCCCGTCCCGTGGGCGGCGGCAAGCGCCTGAAAGCCGTTTACGATCTCAGCAGGACGTTCCACGGCAAGAGAAATTATGATCAAGGAAATAAACATAACGGGCGTCAAGAAAAAGAGGGTCGAAAAGGGATTAGACGTGGCCGGGTGACGGAGTAAAAGAATCTGGGTAAGGCCCCAGCGGAAGCCCGAGAAGAAGGCTGATGCAATCACCAAGGCAAAACCTACCGCATTGAATGCGGTTTCACCGGCCACCATCATGACTACACCGACAGTCATGGCAGCGATTATGATAACCAATTTGACAGAAAGGGTTTCGAGGCGAAAGATAAAAGCGAAGAGCAGAACGAAGGCAAGGGCGGAGGATTTGCACATGGTCAAGAAGGTGAGCGAGATGTATTTGAGGGACATGTTGCCCAATCCGATATCCAACGATGTCGCCGTACCGCAAGGGACCAGGCGAGTCAGGTAGAAGAACCTCGTGATCAGTGGCCTTTTCTCGGATGGCCCAGGATCCCGTGTAGGTGACGAGCCGGACGCCGCGGATACGGATGGATTCTTTGGGCGGAGCGAAGGAATTGCCCAGAGGATCAGGCCAGAGAATGTGAACTGGACGGCCATGTGCAAGCTGGTGGTGAAGAGAGGAAAGGGGAATACGATGTCGTCCTGCGAAAACATCCATTTGTTGTACTGTCACATGCAAATGATTAGCAACCCGTAGACTGGGGAGAGGGTGAAGAAAACTCACAATGGAAATAGACAGAGAGAAAAAATACCACGAAAGAATCAAGACGCCGTTGACGAGTAATCTCTGGAGAACGCTCCTCTCGGCCAGACCCAGACTGAACACATCTTTACGGGAAGCCTTGACATCCGCGATACGGGCGTCCAATTGCCTCCGTTGGCGTCGTCGCCGGCGTCGCTGTTGACGTCTCTGTTTTGCCGTAAGACCCGTTTCCTCGTCATCGTGAAGGTCGTCATCAGTGCTCATGTAATCCATCTCCATGCTCTCCGCAATGGAAGAGAGATCGGAAGCTTCCGCATCCTCCCCATTTAACGGCTTCTGTTCTTCCCGCTTATGACCGGCACCATCACTAACGATCCGGGGAGACTCCTCCCTTTGCTCGGTCGGAAGCTGCGAAGGACCCGTGGCGCCGGTCAGCATCGAGCTGCGCCGTCGATGATGGCTTCCCGAATGAGACAGGCCCATTCTGGGGGAGGTAAATATGACGGGAAAGAATGTATGTGAAATAAAGCGAAAGTCGAAAAGCGAAAGGAGGAGAGTTTCTCAAACTCAAACGCACTCCATTAGTAACCGGATCGGCTGGAAAATCCCCCACAGGTCCTTCACACGGCTTTTTTCACAGGCTGTCTGTCGGGCTGATCGTTGGGAAGCAACCGAAAGGAGAAATACGGGAGAAGAACTGAAAGGCGGTCGGAGGGAGAAATGACAATCACCGTCGGGAATGAGTGAAATATATGAGAGAATGAAAATATAATTGAGAGAGGACAGAGAGAGAGAGAGAGAGAGAGAGAGAGAGAAGATGGAGAAGAGAAAGAAAGAGGAAATTGAGAAGGAAATATATTCAGACAGGGAAAGAATCAATAGGGCGACAGCGAAAACTGCATTGAACAACGCAAGGGGAGCCAAATCAATGGCAATTGTTGCAGAGAAAGTAACAAAAAAGAGAAAGACAAAGTAATGAAAGAACGAGATCCAAACTGTCAATTAGAAGAAAAGAAGCGAAGAAGCAAAGATGGTTGAAGATAGACAGACAGACAAGACAGACAAGAGGTGAGGTCGAGAGATGGCACGAGACCAGAACGTGACTTTCCTTTCTGCCGCCCCTGAGTCTCTGTCTACCACCACCACTGTTGCTCGCTTTTCTATTGCCAACTAACCTAACACTGTCTACTACTAACTACTATCTACAGTTGTCCATTTATCTTTTATTTCTGTGTACAGTTCTACTGCTATAATATACGCACAGCTACCACTGTCTCAGCCTTCAGATCTCCGGTCGATCCGGGGTTGACCAGCGCCATCGTTATTGGCGGAGAATAGCTCCGGGGTGATCACTGCTCTAGTCCACCTTCATTGCGCCTCCAGACCACCATTCCTAAACCCAGACAGGAATTGCGACTGAATGCAAGGTCCAATTGATCCTCGCCATGTTCCTCACAGTCAATGAAGTCGACTGCTTTGCTCGTCAGATCTATGTATCCCCCATGCGGGAAAATCAGGACTATAATAGGACTACGATACCAAACAAGAAGAGCATTATTCCATGAAACATACTCCAGGGGTACTAAATATTATCCGATTATGATGGTGATGTGACTATGGCCCGAGTTTCTCTTCCTCACTCTGTCGAGGTCTATCCAATTATTTCATCGTTTTCGTACCGCAGAATAATCCCATCCCAGCACAATCCTCTCAGATGCCATTATGATCCCTCACGGCTATAATTACCGTCGCTCTCATCATCATGTCGTTAGTCCAAGAGCACAAGATATCTGTTGCTATTTGTTATATGTTCTCCGAATCAATCCTCTTTCCCCTCCTGCTTTTCTTCTTTTGTCCCTAACTCTTTCGCTAGCTCTCCTTCGTATCCCCCCGGCGTGGGATGCTCTCTGCTTCATTTTCATTTACACTAAGTGCTATTTTGCTTGCCTGTTGACAGCCCCAAGTCTCTTAATATGGCCGAACAATACCCAGTCCAGAACGTCCCGGACTACAATGCCGTCGAGGACTATGGCCTCATCGGAGATATGCACACTTGTGCTCTGGTCAGCAAGGCCGGAAGCATGGATTTCATGTGCTGGCCTGTCTTCGACTCCCCCTCCATCTTTTGTCGCTTGATGGACTCCAAAAAGGGAGGCCATTGGAGCGTCAGACCAACCATGGGGGTGAACAGTCCGCTCAGCAAGCAGAGATATCTGCCCTATTCGAACCTCCTTGAGACCCGCTGGACCAACGATGACGGAGTAGCAACCCTGGTGGATTACTTCGCCGTCACCCCCAAGCGAACCCACCAAACCGGCCGCTTATTGACTGGATACTGCCCTTGCAATGAGCCCGGAGTCAACCGGTTCAAGTCGGGCTTGCGACACTCAGCAGTCGCTCGGAAAATTGAATGTAGCCGTGGCACCATGGAATTGCAAGTTGAGCTCTTTCCGGCATTCAACTATGCCCGCGATTCCCACATAACCCGCGCCAAGCTGGAGGATGACCTCTCGGAGCATCCGGTGCAGACAGTTCATTTCGAAAGTGAAACAGAGCGACTGCAACTCGCGATCTGCGCCACCTCGTCGGAGCCCGACATCGCTGGCTTCCCCAAAGCCCAGTTCCGGCTGGAGGAGAGGCCGGAGATGCAAGGCCGGGGGCTCGTCGCAACCATAAAGCTTTCGGAAGGCCAAGCCATCCACTTTGTTCTACACAGCCCTGAAATGAGCATGCCCATGGGTGTCGCCGTGCCAGGCCATATCAGGCGCCTAGAGGAAGAGACCTACGATTACTGGACCGAATGGACGCGGAAATGCACCTTCCGCGGACAGTACCGTGAAACGGTCGAGCGCAGTCTGCTGATTCTGAAATTGTTGACCTATAAACCCACTGGCGCCATTGTTGCTGCGCCAACTTTCTCCATCCCGGAAAACGTGGGTGGGAGTCGTAATTGGGATTATCGCTACTCCTGGGTTCGAGATACCTCCTTCACACT